TGAATTAGTGAGCTTTTATCCATCACTGAAGGTTATGAGGCGTAAGATATTTTTAATATGGATGAATATGGCCTTTTAATCAAAACATTAGCCAACAAACCGTTCTACATCATAGGACAAAATGTGGACGTGGCAAAAAGTTCAAGTCTAAGGAGAGAATCATGATCTATGCAAACTTAACAGGGGAATAACAATAAGTGATTGTGATGGGGCTAATCTGCAAGACCGAGAGTTTTCAGTTGTCTTGACATGAAATGTCTGCCTGTCCTCAACACACATTCTCCCAAAGCTCGGAAGACAACTGAAACCTTCACATCCTGGTTCCAAAGACTTTACAAAAAAAATGAAAGCACATAATCAACATGCCTCCTCTCTCTGGACAACACGCCAGTGTACCCCTTCAGCAACATCAAAGAATCAATAAAAAGAAATAAAGACCTACACAAAAACAAACAAAAAACCCCACAAAAACAAAATCAAAAACATTTTATTGGGCCTGTGTGCAGTCCTAAGCCTGCAGACCACCAAACCATACAAATACAATGTTGGAAACTCGGAAGGGAATGTTTTGATGGTGGTAGTTTACATGTATTACCTGAGAATTCATTTTCATACATGTAGTAAGTGACCATAACTCAGACCCTGTCCACAGCCGTTACTTGTCTGTAACGGTTGCTTTTCTCTGTGATGTTGAGTGACCATTATAACAGCTTCGACTGCACTTCCACACAACAGTACATTTCTCATTCAAGTCCATCCAGAGACAGTCAGTTACTTCCAAGCCATTTTACCCTGATGTAAACAAAGTGAAAAACTGTATACACATTTGTTCCATTTGAATTAAACAAACCCTCATAATTCTTGACACAATCAAAGCGTGTCATTAAAGGAGAACAAAATATTTGAACATGGGCATTAAGAAAGTATGAAAATAAAATCTATTCAGCTTTTTTTGGGTGTTCTTGATAGTTTGTGAAAACAGAATTGTTCTACACATATTATACATGAACAAGAACAAAGAAGTATGCTCAAACAGAATACACATTCATCATTCCACACTCAATAAAGAAAAAGATGCAATGCTCATTTAAGTGCAGCACTGACGAGAATTTTCACAAAGCAAGTTTGAACCCTATGAGTTGCCACTGCACACTTTCTCAATTACAGCTGTGTAGAGTGAGGGAAAACCTGGTCCATTGTCTACCAGGGGTGTGTGAGTGTGTGCATGAGCTCTTGTGGTGGGAGCTGAGCTTAAGTAGTCCACCCTTGACAGCATGCAGAAGCTTAACCAATCAAAAAGAATATTAATCCGCAAACAGGAAAAAGAGGCTACAACAGCACCTGGACATGGATGGCTGGTCCCTCTATAAATAAATCATTGATGGTGAAGGTCAATCAGTCTGACAGTGACATATAATGTCGGAAAATCTATTCAAATGTATAAAGCCCAGAAAGCAAAGTTTTTCAGGAGAGAGAAAACTGTTTCCCTTTTTCTTTACAATTGTACCAATATTGCTTTACAAATGTACCTAATTTATGTCATAATTCTTGCTTTTTTCCACACTTATAGTATAAATTTTGACAATATATTCCTGGAGCACAGGCAACCGATATCACAGATTTTAAAAATGAAAATGCAATAAAAATCTTTTCAAAATTTTCGACTTTATACATTTCAATAGCCTATGATACGCTTTCCCTTGCAATGAACCAGGTGATGTATATATATAAAATGTACACCAGAAGTTACTTTTTTTCTATTGGTGTACAACAACTTCAACATATTTTCAAAATCAATCAAATCTGTCCAAGACAACTACCCCTTGTCAAGGGAAAAATGGTCATCTTAGACCGGCGGTATCTTTGGGCAGTGTCATTACAATGTACGGGGGGGGGGGGGGGGGGAGAAGAAAGATAAGTGGTCCTTTGTACATGTGATTGTCTTGAACAGGTGGTCCTTAGGGCAGCTTCTGCTGTATAGCTCGAGAACCTCTGGGCATGAGAGAAAGTGAAAAACAAAAACGCTGACACTCAAATTTTACATTAATACGGAAAAGGAGATATCTCTTTAGAAAACTCACAGTTAAGGAGATACCAGCAGCAACAAACAAAAGGGGACTCTAAGCGCAACAAAAAGTAGCCTATCTTTTTATATTTTTTAATTCCCTCAAAACCTAAGCTGCTCACTCAGCAATTTCACTTTATCCCATTACAAACGTATTTCATTTAAACTGAATTATGATGGCTATAACAGAGGAAGGTCACTTCATTTGACCTTTAGATACCAGACCATGATGTTTTCTGGGGGGGGGGGGGGGGGGGGTGTTAAATATAGGTGTTTTTATGCCCCCATTGACACACATTCAGTCATTTAGGAGGCTGGCTTCCGAGCCTGCCTGAGAGGGTTACAACACTCCAGCAGAAAGACTGACATACTTAATAAAAATTTATCCCCACTCAGGAGTCAAACTCAAATCTCCTGCGTGCAACAACGAGGCACCTAATCGCTACATCACAGATGCCAGTATAATGTCTGTGAATTAAACTGATTTATGATTGCTATTATAACAAAGAATGTCTGTTAATTTGATTTTTATTAACAGATCATGACGATTGATGTCTCTTCTGGCCTGCTTCTGGTAATTGAAAATAAATAATCGGATAAATTTACATCTAGAGATCATCATTTATCATTGACCCAGTATACCATAAAGCTGTGTCTTCAGCATTGATATTCTGTAAAAATTTGTTCCCAACAGCAAATTTAGACAAAATTATTTGTTCGTGAAAATGAATAAATATCTAAATAAATGAAAGAAATGTTTGTATTCAAATCCACAAACTGTTGAATACAATACCTCAATTAATACACAAAATGCAAATAACAAAGAAAAAGGCTCCAAGTTATGATGTCATCAGTGCGGCTTAGTAGCACTAATTTGTACAACCGTCATACCGAAGCATACTTTTCCATCTCCGGACAAAGCACGAACCAAGAGATTAGGACCAACTAACCATGCCCACTAATATCCCTATACTAATACTGAGACCTCTTGTCTGCTGGCTGCTGCTTTTTCTTCCGAAACTAGATCACAGTCCTGCAGAGTATACCCATGCTGGAAACTCAGCAATGAATTATGCAAAAACAGCACTTTAAAAAAAAAAGTAAATGTATGCGAAGCATGCTGACAAAATGATTACTTCTCAGATTTTAGCCCAATAATGGAAATTGGTATGTCAAATTTATATGTTGAGATTTGACAATTTATTAATGTGAAATGATTAAAGACATGTTACTTGAAGCGAATGGCATCGCTTTAAAATCTGCAAATAAAATTCTTATATTGATTTTCGGTCAATGCCTCCATTCATGGATTGCGAAAAGTAACTCATTTTGTCAGCACGCCTCACACATATAAGGACCTCCACGTTCAACACCTTGGTAAAGGACTGAAGAGCAAAAGCCTTAGGGTAGCTGGATAAATAACAACAATACAAAATGTAGCTCTGTGACTTATCAATGCACATGATAACATTTTCAGCCACATCTAAAGTTGAGCACATGATATCAAAACATTCAAGAGTGATTGTGTTTTTTACAGATGAATGAAAACTGCACATTTTATACATCTCAAGAAAAACAGCAATTGCCTTTTTTCTTTCTCAAGAAGGACTTTTGAAAGGCAGTCAAGCTCACAGACCTGTCTCAACAGGAACATTGTGTTACTGGAGAGGAATGTGGAAAAACAGGATGGAATGAAACAGTTTCCAATGCTGAACGGTACGATATTTGACGAAACGTGAAAACAACATAAAAGCACAATTAATTTGTCATAAACAATATCATCACATTTTCAAAATCAGAGGCACTGGGTAATAAAAATTATATGCAAATGTAGTGACATCAATATGAAGTCATACATCTGTAAAATGCAACATACCACCCCCCCCCCCCCCAAAAAAAAAACACCCCCAACCAAAAACAAAAACAACAAAATTCTTTTAATTACAATGTCTGTATAGTAGCACATGTATTTTTAGATTCTTTAATGCTTCATCACAATTCACATAGGCCTAAACAAAACTTAGCAAGATGTGAAGAAACTGTAGCTCTAGCACTTTATCAAAATCACTTCTATGTCTGTATTCTATTCTAGCTTCATTTTCTGGGCAGGAACAAAGAAGCAGTGTCGTCATGGACATGGCACCTGGGCAGGCATCTCTAAACTGTACCCACATAGGATCATATCATCAAAATAGTCTGACACTTGTGTAAACGCAAATCCAGAAGACAGCTTGCTGTGAGATAAAGTTTAACATACAACAAGCATCAATATTAACCAAAAGTTGTCTGACGTGAAGCAGATTCAAGACCTGAGATCTCTTCACTAACAAGAAGAAAAAAGTTCTTTTAACATGTAACTACATTATCATACAACTACAACCACTGAAAGTTCTGTCAATATGTTGAATGATGTTGACATATTTTTAAGAGCAACAAAAGCATGTGGAAAAACAGATGTGACAGGTATGCATGACTAATTTGGCTGCAACAGTAGTAATAATAATAATAAGATAGCATTTGTACAGCGCAAATCCCCGCTCAACAGCAAGCTCTATGCACTTCACAATCTATACTATTACCCCAGCAGACCTAAGAGCATCCTGAAACAACCTCAACTTCCTGGGAAGCATACAGTGCAAGCAGGGAGTACATACGGTCCAGGCATGGAACATCAGTAAAGATCACACGACACGATTATTTCTTCCCCGGCTATTGATCAATATTACAATGATAAACTAATTTTGACATAGATCTACGTAATGAATTGCATGCTGGACTGTGGTAGATTAGTTTCCGTATGCTAGGCTCTACACAGCAACATAACTTGTTCGGCAAACAATACGTCATAGATGATAGATGACACAGGCATGTATTTGAACAAATCGGCCCTTTTGCACGGAATGTGCTTGGTAAAGTTCAGTGTATTTTCTTGGAATTTTCCAGTAATTCTTTGGTATCAAGAATCGAAAATGCATCTCATTTGAAACCAAACTACTTTTTATTGAGAAAGTCGAATACATTATACATTACTTGCTCAGTGCCTATAATTATCTAAACAAAAACCTTATATTTGCCATAACGAACACTCGAATTCAACATAATTGTAGGTCAGGCCCGATGACTGTTGAATCCGAGTTCCACTTGACTACGTAACAGCCTAACAAAAGAACATAAAATACAAAAAAGACAAAAAAACAGAGACATCAATTCATCAATTGAAGAATGATGGAGTTATGAGGAAAACAATATATATGAATGACACACAAAATCACATATGTTGTACTTCAACAACACCTGTCCAAAGTTAGACCACAAACTCACTCACAATGACCTATCTACCATTCTGAGCAAAATTTGAAAAGTGTATAGCTCTAAATATTCCGGCAAATTGCTACACTATAAATATGACAACAGGTAAAATTATACACAGCCCTGAAAAACAAAAGGTCAACAAAGGTACGAGATAGCAACATCAAGACTTGAAAAACACACAGTCTTGTGGCTAGCTTCTTACCACACAGGAACATTTTCAAACAAAGACATACGTAGTAGTAACATGAGGAAGTTAAGCCATTTTAAAAATCACTTATTTGTACACCTGAACTCTTTCTCTCTCCCTCACACACACATTTATACACACACACACAATCCCACTCAAACAATAAACAAATATAATCCCTTTTGTGTCAAAACAATATATGTAAGAAGCATAAATCTTTTAAAAAATTAAACATTTCAGACTAACTGTATTTGGCATACACTGCTTTTCCTGATCCTGTACCACTTGAGGACATTTAGAGTAGGTAAATGCAGTGGGAAAGAGTTTTGTCAGTGTCTATAAACGACAACTTCGATGCAATAACATTCATTGTAATGAAGATAAAACTTAGCAAGATAAACTGAAAAGCCAACTAAACATTTGAACAAATTGACAAAACAAAGACAGAACATCTCACACTTCAAAGAGATCAATAAATACACAATCTAGCATTTTTTCCCAGAAAGAATATAACGTGGCATTGGATTTCCCATCCCCCAAAAAAATTCAAAATTGTTTACTCTAATCCACACATCTTTGTTCATACAGTTTGCCCATTTATTAGGGCAATTTCAGCACAGAAGCTCTGAGAAAGACATCAGGAAACTAGCTTCATTTTAACTAGAGAAGCTGAACTTCAATGACATTATTTACAAGTAACAAAAGCACTTCAACAGGATGACGCTGTATTTCTCTAAACTTAAATGGGAGATACGGGTGAGAGGAGGTGTCCCCCTCCAAAAAGTGATACATGCTTCGCTTTGATTATATTGTGAGGTCACATGAATTACCCTTACAAAAATGTTCTATGTCCAACAATCAAATGATCTCAAGAAGCCTAAAAAGCCTTGCATTGCTCTCTGTAAAACATGGAAGCAAAGCAAACTTAGATGAAGCCTAACCTAAACCAAATTAATCAGAGAACAGATGACAATGACTCTATATTACAAGAGAGAAATACAAACAGCTGAGCAAATTAAACACTACCTGTGAGCTAACACAAATACATTTTTTTTAAAAGACCATATATCTACCTTATATGAAACATATTTTGCTGTAAGGAGAGAGTAATTCTTTCCACTGAAATGAAGATTTAGATGGACAGGAGACACAACATCAGATTTGAATATTTGAAATTAAACGTAATATAAAAATGATAATAACAATAACAATAACAATAACAATTATTGCAATTATATAGCGCATATCCACGCTCTACAGCATGCTCTATGTGCTTTACAACTATCATTAACCACACAAAAGTAATAAAAAAACAAATCAATAATTGTCAACCCATGTGGTTTTCCAAATTTCTGAGAAAGAGCTCCTAATGACTTTTAACAACAGAAAAGTAAAAAAAGAGTCAAAACCTCAGATGTGCCAAGAAAACACTATTGTATAGCCATAGCTCGGGCTAAGCCAGGCAAAATCTGAGCTTGTAGAGGGTTGGGAGCAAAGCGTTCTCCGTCCACCATGATGTTGCCATTGGTAGAGATGGGCTCCAGCCGAAAGGCCAAGACTTTGACGATCTCCACGTAGGGCGAGTGTACGTGAGAGCCTGTAGCAATTGCCTTAAAAAGGTTGAGGAGAGTGTTGCGAGAGATGCCCTCTCGGACCAGCATGAGGTGGATGCAGCCATCATGCAGGTGAGCATCAGGTGCCACAAGCACATCGCTGCCCAGGTGGGACTGATAAGCGGCACACACCACCACAAACTCACCCTCGATGGTGACCCAGTTGTCCGGGACAGGTTCGTCCAGGCCTGGTAACAGAGGGGTTGGAACGGGAGAAAAATCGGCCTTTTTTCCATGATACATCTCTTCTGTTACCCCTACTTCTTGTGTGTCTTCCAATACAGTGAAAGAACTTCTTTTGCTGTCCGAAAATTCCGCAGCATCCAAATTTAAAACATCAGCATTAGGTAATGTGTCATTTACCTGAGTCTTTGCATCGACATGATCAGAAGAATCCCGTTGGTCAACACAACTATTTGTACTTCCAGCATAGTGATCATTATCAGTTTGTGAGACATTACCATCACTACCAGCTACTATGCCCTCATTCTGCTTTACGCCTAAGGCACTTTGCGGAGGCTCAACAGGAGACACTTGCAGTTCTGTCTGACTTGCGTTGTTATTGTTGACACTTTCAGCAACACCACTCACACTTTCACCTTGACCTTCTGAAGCTGTAGCCCGCTCCACTGCTGTGACAGGTGTGGTGGCATCAGGTGGACCAGGAGGCTGGGCGTCGACGACATGTGAACTGACGGGAGACTTGTCCCCTTTGTCTTCCTTGCAATCACCAGACGCTAGATGACCTATGGTAACCCCCGGGCTGGACTCAGACCTGGGTTTGGCCGTGACTGGCTGGTACTCACAACTGTCTACACTGTGCCTTTGATAGGACTGCAGGTGGGGAGAATCACTCCCCGCTGAGCTGACTGTACTTTTACTACTACTGCGACTACGTAGAGAAAATCTGCGTATTTTTGAAAGGACTTTTTTGTTTGTGCTCGAGTCGTTTCTGGGACTATATTCAGCGATAGGAAGAAATGAAATTTTTCCCTTGTAAATGCGAAGACCTGTGAAATAAATAAATATAAACAGTGCATTGAAGAGAATCACAGTTGGACGATCTGGATTTTGAAGACGACTTGGCTCTTCTGTCGCACACCTAGGAACAGATGCAAGCAAAGACTTCAGTATTAAACAGCCTATCGGAGTCTGTTGGATTGAGGAACCACCCGGGAAAGTCAAAGGTCCTAAGGACAGATGCACAACGAAAGGAGCAGGTCACAGTTGAAGGAAAGGCCCTAGAAAATGTTGAATCCTTCTGCTATCTTGGGAGCATAATTGACAGAGAGGGAGGAACAGGTGCTGAAATAAAGTACCGCATTGGAAAAGCACAGGCTGCTTTCATATCTTTGGATAGGATTTGGAAGACCAGAGAGATCTCACTTCGAACAAAGCTGAGGATTTTCAATTCAAACGTGAAGTCGGTCCTGTTGTATGGATGTGAGGCATGGAACGCATCACAGACTTGTATAAAGAGGATCCAGGTTTTCTTGAACAGGTGTCTAAGAAAGTTACTGAGGATCAGATGGGCAGACGGGGTCACCAATGTGGAAGTGTTAAGGAAAACAAGACAGATCCCAGTCAGAGATGAGGTAGGAAGAAGGCGGTGGCGATGGATTGGACATACTCTCAGAAAGTCAGGCAGCTGCATAACAAAGAAAGTTTTGGATTGGAACCCACAGGGCAAGAGATCAAGGGGAAGACCTTGTGGAACTTGGAGAAGAATCACAGAAATCGATGTACAGAAAAGTGGGAAGACATGGAATAACATCAAGAGGTAAGCCCAGGATAGAAAAAAGTGGAGGGTGTTTGTCCGTGGCCTATACCCTGATGTAGGGTGAGAAAGGCAATGATGATGATGATGATTGAAGAGAATCTTGCTACGAAAACAATAACTAATTTTTGTCTTATACCAGCAAAATAAAATAAATGCATTTAAGACAGAAAGAGAGAGGAAGGATAAATGAGAACACTTGATTACTTATTTTGTTGCAGAAAGATTGAAAGAGCATCTTAGAAAAAATACCACTCCAATTTTTCACCTATACATACATCACTTCCACTCTCATTCAAGCACTCTCTCTCTCTCTCTCTCTCTCTCTCTCTCTCTCTCCCTCTCTCCCTCTCCCTCTCCCTCATGCAAGCATACATGCATGCATGCACGCACACACACACACACACACACACACACACACACACACACACACACACACACACACACACACACACACACACACACACACACACACACACACACACACACACACACACACACACACACACACACACACACACACTTATCTACCCGCACATACATAATACAAACTCACAGGCATCAACAGAAAGCCAACTCTAGAAAGGCAAGAAAAGTATTCCTCAATATCTTGCATTAGTAAGCCATTCTTGTGTAGAGTCTCTAACATCATCACAAGAAACTCAACTTTAAAAATGAAATCCTGCCAAAAAGACAACTAGCATGGCCAAATCTGATATCAAAGCCAATATCTATATGATGGTTGAATGAGACGCATCATGAATATTCTGAGTAGTAAATATCTTTTGTGAAACATGGGTCTCAATATCCTGCAATTTAGTGGATTTCCGCTACCACATTTTCCTCCGCTAAACTCCGCTACCCAGTAATGCGCCACCACTTTCTGTACATAATCAAGATTGTAAATATTTGGTAAGTGACTCTTTTACTTGAAATGATCTTCCAAACCCTAAAACTTGTATGAAGTAACCTTGCTTTGATAAATTGATGGGGGGTTTTTTCAGCATTCTAGGGTTGAACAGTATAATAATAGGTGTCTCGCGAAAATGGTCTTCTGTCATGATCACGTGGGAAGTTCCTCCTTTTTTCAAATTCTGAGTTGAGACCCATGGTTAAATTATGGTGTCCCATCACAATCTGCACTGTTAAAAAAACTGGCAGAATAAAATATGAGTCTATCAAATAAATCAATCACATAAAAAGAGTTAAAGAAAACTATATCTCTTCAATGTCTTACTACTGAGGAACGATAGATAAAAGCTACAGCTGTAGAGAAAATGTCGCTAAGAACACTTGATAAATGGTCGAAGGATTGGTTTATGATGACTGAATACTCACTCAAAATGCGCCTGATAGCTCCCACAGTGAAGCGTGCTTCCCCAAACGAGCGATACTTCTCACTCTCATAGTCAATGTCAGCAAGAAGTCCCCACGTCATCGACAGGAAAGAGTAAACGGTGAGTTCTGGCATCTGCATTACAACCAGATCCATGGGGACCACTCGGTGCTTCACCAGGATAAATGCTGAGTGAAGCGCCATGGACGATTCAATGGGTTCGCTGAAGATACAACGTAATTCCATTGAGAACTTAATTCTGCCAGTTCATATCATGGAAGTGAGATACAACAATTATGCCTAATTTTATCAAAACAATTGCAGTATTTCAAAAGTGTTAGTGGCGCAGCATTTCCTTGGAAGAGTTTACTTCGGTACCAGATGTCTTTGTAACCTATTATGTCATCAAATAAGTAGTTCTAAATCATTTCAAAACTATGTGAAAGTGATTCAAAAACTGTGTCCTGTAAAAAAACAAACCAACATTTTTTATTAAAAGTAAGCAGTGAGTGATAGATATAAAGTAACTCAAATGCATTTTACTGAAAGCAAATTGAGTACAAAGGATTACATGTTACTTGGAATTTCAGATACTATTTATTATCTCAGTGTAAAGACCCCATAATTTCTTGATGAACTCTGCCACTGATTTTTTAAAAATAAACAATTAGGCCTACTCATGGGAAAGAATCAGAACACCCACACAATGTTACAGGGTGCACCACAAGAATAAGAAAACACTTCAATGACATGTAGTAGCATTCATTTTCTTTTGACAGCAGCACAGTTTATGATTGTCATGATGGTTGTTACCAACAGTTGTCCTGGGGTTGGTTTCCACATCCTTTTCCATCTCATAAAAGATGCCATGGGTCTCTATTTTCCTTTCCCCAATCTGTCCCCAGCCTTCTTCTTTTTCTCACACCCCTGTTAGAGCTGGCAGGGATAGAACTGTTGACCTTTGGGTTGACAGGCAAACACCATACTGGTTGAGCTACTGAAACATCCAAAAGCAGAACTAGAAGTCTTTGAATAAGGCATTCACTCTCGTTGAGTATGGTGTGTTAAGGACCCGGGGAAAGGGTGGAAGGTGTTGGAGGAAGAAAATGCTCCTGTGCTGGAGGTCCTGCTGATTGAAGATCAGGAGTACGCCATGAACATTTCTGTAAGGTTGATGACACAGCAGGCACACAGATGGGCTTCCTAGGTCATCCAATTCAAGAGATAGTTTCATCATACATTCTGTGTTCTGATGTGGAAAATTGTTGTCTTGGCCTTTTTTTTCTAAGCACTAAAACAGACAAAACTTACCCCGCAGCATAATTGATAGAACAGCAGAGCGCGTTGCCCGATCCTCCCGGTATACAGCCAACGGGAAGTTTGATGGAGGACGCCCAGTCAGCTCGCTTCATGATACCATTTAAGGCCTGGAATGAATTTTTTTTTTAAAGAAAGCTCTAGAGTGTCCTCAATTTCACCAAGAAATATAAATATAAACCAAGAAAAATAATTAAAATTAAAGTCAATTATCAGCAAAGTCAAACTATAAAACAGCACACTGAGAATTTGACAGACATATAAGATCTTGAAAGGGAAGATTTGTACCAGTACAGCTTACGACCAGTGACTTTTTAAAAGTGTTTGTGTGTCACTACTCTTTGGAACCATGTGCTTGTCAGTTATAAATGTACTATGACCATCTGTAGGCCTACTGATGAAAAGAGGATAACAGTTTGATAATCTGAGTGTTATCTCATAGCCCAAATGCCTACCTCAAAGATCAGACCGTCTCCAGAGACTATGACAATGCCATACCACTCAGTCAGGTTGAGAGATGCCACAATATCACTAGCATGGCCTGCATACTCTGAAATAAACACATTCAAAATGCAGTTTAAAAATGTAGTGTTTTCATCCCTGTTAGACACAATATGTCATCTTGATGGTGGTGCACCCATCTCCTCAACATTAAGTACAGGACTATGAGGAAATATTCCAAGGAATTCAACAAAAGTTGTGACCTCACTCAAGCTTCAACAGGTTCATCATAGCCATAAACAACAATATATCATACTGCACATCTTCCATGGCATTGTGGCGGAAGCCAGTATATTTATCAGGAAACCCCTCTTGCATTTGTGGGTATGGGCCACTTCAAAAACTTAAAAATCTATCAGTTTGTGCCAAAGGTCAAACACCTTTATTCAAACTATAAATAACGAAACGAAAACGTTTCTCATGATCTAGATCTAGAAAACTAATTTTGGAAATAAAACAACAGTGAAGCAGCCCAGAATCAAATTTATTGCCTGAGAGAATCAACAAATGAACACATGATCTGTACTGATGTTTGGGCAGACTACATGGAACTAATGAACAATTAAAAAAAGAAAGAAAGGCTAGGAGAGTCTACACACTCCACTAATGAAAGACAACTTAACCCTTTGAACCTTGGATTCCTCGGCCTTGAATGGGCTATACCCTGAGCTCCAAAACAATTTCATTGATTTTTCGGCATACTTTTCTAGAGCTCAATTTAGTGTTATCTGTTTATCTAATTTTTTTTGGTTATATCACTATGCTGGCCTATATTGATGCTGCTGTTTCGTATTTGTGTTCTATATCTGTGAACACACACCATATTTAGGTTGGTGTGTCCTATTGGTATTTCAGTACCCGAGAGTACTTGCAGCGCAGCACTCATTCTGATATTGGGGTACACAGGATTCACACAACTTTATGCACTTGCAAGTGCCGTAAAATGCGCACCAAAAGAAAACAGAGGGTTGAAAGGGTTAAGACTGTGCCTTTGAACAATTTTTTAATTAGAGGTAAGATTTTTTCAACAGCTGCTCCCTCAGTGTGGAATTCTGCCCCCTGTGCATTTAAGAGAGGTGCTTAGGTTGACTGCATAAAAAAAAAAAACCAAGTTAAAAGACATTTTAAATTTTAATCTTATTTTATCTGCTAGTCTGATTTTTCTTTCAACAACATGCGATTAGCAGCTACTGTGATTACCAATTATTATTGAGTATGATCTTTTTTGACTGAACACGCTTGTGGGTAAATTACGATAATTATAATATACATATTTGAAAGGACTTATGTACACTGAATAGACACATGATAAATGTCATTATGTAAGTTGTCAGAAGTGGTTTTTATTGTGGTGTGCCTAGAGCCACAAGGGAGACGGCTCTTTAAAAGTGATCTTTATTGTTATTAGTATCATCATTATTAATGTACAGAGCGTATCTCTAATAATATTCTCCTCCATACTTACTGGTGACAATCACTTTATATGGTATGCTTGCCTCATACAGCATTGGAGCCACATCATTTTTGAATATGATATCAGCTTTCCCTGGCCCACTATGAGGATTGATTAAGATGAGCATTTTGCCCATCTGTGGTGGTACACAGCTGCTAGGGTCTGAAACAAAAACATGTACAATTGTTCAGACAAGCAAGAAAACGAGTGTAAAAAATTTCCATACAGTTACAAGGCTATGATATATAATTGTGGGGTGAGCTGACAAAATAAGTTACTTCTAGAATTTTAGCCTGATGGAAATTGATACATCAACTTTTTAGGTGGAGTTTGTACAATTTGTAAGTACAGTCGAACCTGCTTTAATGGAAACCTGTGTAAAACAGAAACCTCTCTTAACGGAATCTCCCCGCTCCCCCTTGATATATTTCACTTTAATTACCTGTTTAAAAAGGAAACCTGTTGAACGCGGAAACGGAAATAAAAATCCGCTCCAATCCGAGGGTTTTATCTGTTTAAGACAGAAAATACTTTGCCTGCTCAGCCCTGATTTGAAACAAAACTCGCAAGTTTGGTTTCGCCGGCTCTAAACTTAATGCCATGCTGCCGGGCAAGGAAGGGAAGTAGGGTAGCTCTTTGAGGGTGGATGTTTCACCCCATCTATGTGAGCCCTGAGCGACGAAGATGGTCAGGGTGGTGTGGGTGCTAAATCTCACGAGTGCCAGTCAGTTAAAGTGCTTGAATGGTGTTCCAACACGGAAACTTTCAGTTCAGTGGTAGCCAGAGGTGTAAAACTAGTTTGGCCAATGCCTGCCGCCCTGATCGTAAAGCCAGCCAAGAAAAGAGTTCCTTGAATCATTGTTACATATGGCAGTGGGGGATGGCATTGGTCGACTGTGCTTAATACACAGCAAATAAGATATTCAAACGTTTCTGTTTTTAATACATTAAACAGTGGGCCTATAAAATGCTAGCACTGGTGGCAATTGGATAAATAAGACTTATGCATGTCATTATCAGAGAGGATAGCTGCTGAGAGGTGTGAATTTTGATCACTTGTGACTGCTTGCCGACCGGACAAGCGACCCTCGATTCCACCGGCTGGGCCTTTGAAACCCCACTCAATCTCCCCACTAAATTCCCCTAAGACGGAAAATGTCTACGACAGAATTTTTCTCTGGCTCCCTTGCGATTCCATCTCACATGTTCGACTGTACGCAATCAATAATAAATTAAAAAACACGTTAGACTGGAACAAAATGGCATCAACTGGAAATCTATCAATCTGACCCCGGTGTTGATTTTGGGCAATATCTCTGTTCTTGGATTGCGAAAAGTAATTCATTTTGTCAGCACACCTCACAATTATTCAAACCCATGTCATTTACGAGAGGGAAGGAATTCCTTAACGAGCAACCACTGTGAAATAGATACAGAGGGTAAGGCTTAACTTAGGATTAAGGCTAGGTTTCGGGTTAAGGTTTGGGATTGGGTTTGGATCTGGGTTACGCTTTGGGTTAGGGTTAGGGTCAGGGTTAGGTCTCTTCTTTATAATTGTATTTTTTGGGGGTGGTCGCTTTTTATGGAAATTTTTCCTAGGAAAGATTACCCAAAGAAAACAAAAAGCATGTCATTTTTAAAAACGCAGTGCCTACGTTCACAGCGCCCTGACTCATCCACCATAGAGGCACAAAGGCACGACTGAAACGCTATGGTCGCTCAAAGTTCAAAGTGAATGAGGAAACAGCATAGGAATACTCGCATGAAAAATAATTATGCAGCAGCGGTCCGAATGCAACCAAGTTTACAGAATGCAAAGGCGTGAACAACAAAACAGACGCGGTCGACAAGGCCTCACTCGTTCAGCAAATGGAACACGACAAATCCTCTCTTCCTGTGTATGGACCCAGAAACGCTCGACAATTAGAAAATAAAAGTCGGTTGAAAAAACAAGAGAGAATGGAAGAAGACCAAGGCGGGAAGAGGGGTGGGAGGGGGTAAAAAAAAGAAGAAGCAAAAGGGAAAAGGGTAGGGGGTGAACTGAGCAAGATCATTCTTAAATTGCAAACTACATTCAAGGTGCCGTGAACGTAGCCACTGCCTTTTACAAAAGCTTGAGCCTATAATCCAGTTAAATTATTAACCCTCGTTCTGTGGGGGCGGGGTTTATGTTGCCCGATAAGCCTATTTCGGCACATTGCCTTCGTTCTGGTCCTGTGTCCTTGGCTCAGCGCATGCGCACTGAACATCTTCTCTGTTCCATTCGGGTCCCGCGTCGGACCCGCATTCACGCAGCTCAAGTATGTGTGCGTCAGTGTGCTTGAGTTTGTGTGTGTGTATTTGTGGCCTTCTTCTTGAACCGCCAGTGTTGGTTCGTAACCACGGCATACGTCTCATTCAAAACATGCCACGTTGGTAGCTCTAGATGTTCGTCCAAAGAATTTATAGAACAAATTGACCCACTTAGACATTAGGAGCTCGAAAGGATAGTCAGGAAAAAAGACTTCCATTTTTCTATACAAAATCTTTCAAATGAGCTTGATTTTGTATGAAATGATACTACCAGATAAAAAATAAGGTTCTTGTTTCATAATTTTGAATATCATTGTGTAGGTAAAAAGAACAATTTGAGTGCAAAACTTTCGGAAATTGACCTACATTACCCCCTTTCAAATCCCAGATCATAACAACAAGAGCCTCTAAAAGGTTATTATTCGAATGGGCGTAACTTCTCGTAATGTCTTATCAGCTTATGAGAGGAGGTTATTCATGTGTTCGTATCACTTTATAAATTATAATAGAGAGTTATAAAAGATAGAGCGTTATTTTCATCATCGATTAACACACTCCCATGGTATTCATGGCGAAAACACATGTTTCCAGGCCCGCTTGCTGTACACCAACAGTACACGCTGAGTGACCGCGGCAGCCTGCCCCGAACGTCCGACGTAATGGGTTGCTGATAAGATTCGCATCTCAGCACAGACGCAGAACAAGCGTTAAAGCAGATTAATTTTTACGGAGGGAGGGGGGTATCATAACATAATACAAAATGTTCTGCTTTTCCATAAATTAAAAACAGAATCGAAGTGATTATTCGGACTCGAGTCCGAATATGAAAAAATGTTATTCGGACTCTGATTCTTGTCCAGCAAGACATCACTTCCAACTTCCTGTGACTCGTGAATCCGGCTTCCTGTCCTGCCTCACTCGTGACTCGCCTCAGGCTGGGTAGAGACCGGGATCACTTCGGGCAAAATGGCGTTTTGTGCAAGAGCCGAGTTTTAATCTTATGATGAATTTGAGGCCGGCCTGAAAAGTTTAGCGCTTCTAATAAATGTTTATTTGTCAAGAGGTCATCAGAAGCAATTAAAGATGGCTCGTTAGCGTGTGTCGGGGTCGGATGGGCGGCCTGCACACGTGTGGCTGTGTTTGTGTCGGGGAGGGGGGTGGGGGGTGCACTAGCGGTCCGGGCGTTGAACGTCGCATACGTGTCAGTCTTTTTCCCCCCGGCAACTGATCATTATCACAATAATAAGCTAGTCTTGACGTAGATCTACGTAATGAATTGTGCGCTGGTCTATGGAATCAAAAGTTGCCGTATGCTCAGCTCTACACAGCAACACAACTTTTTCTTGGTAAACAATCGATATGACAGTCTTGTGTATTTGAACGAATCGGTCTTTTTTTTTTTTTACACAGCTCATAATATGCAGGTGCCAGGTGGTCTGCTAATCTTCAATTTTACCTTTTTCTACGACAAAGAAAGTGGGAAACGTGAGGGGGGGGGGGGCGTATCAATGAGGCAGCGGGCATTGGATCGGCAGAAAAGGTGTGGGGGAAACTAAAAAATGGCGGAAAATAGGAGGAAGCACTGAACGTTAGATCTATAGAACGAAGACACTTCCTTTTTTCCGGACCCGAGTCCGAATAACATTTTTTCATATTCGGACGACAGAGCATTCTGATCAACCTTGAACTTAAAGCCAGCAACTTTTAATTCTTACTAAACACTTACTTAAATAGTGCATACTGACTCTTATTTTTTCTGAATTTTTCAAGAGATCTTGCAGATCAACCTCAGCAATGGTTTTAAAACACACACAAAAAGTTTAAAAATTTGGCCTTTTTCTTTTACTTAGTTTTATCTTTAAGATTCTATCTAGATATCTAGATCTAGATATCTAGATCTAGATCTAGATCTAGATCTAGATCTAATTGCTTTTTTGCTGCTTTTATTTAAGAATAGAGACAGAGAAGCAACAAGTAATCATCTGTAGGCCTAGTATCGTGTAGTAATTTGCTAAACTAATACTCCCATGCATACCTTTAAGATTGATTGGCAAGCCCCTATGGAGACAAGTTATCATATTTCTCCACTTTTCAATCTCCTTTTTTTTACTTTCAAAAGTTTCCTGAGTTGCCCTCAGTTCAAATCCAAGTGCAACTCTGTGGCGAACCTTTTTGCCACTGAACATTTTCTTCCTGAAAGGGTATGCAAAAACAACAAAACCACAAGCCAAGGAATCAGACAGTCTCGGAATAGAAAAGGACTTAGAAAAGGAAGATTCCAGGTCATCGTTTTGTCCAGACTCTTCGCCGAAATCAGAAACAGTGTCTCCTCCCGGAGAGGACGGTGTTGATGGAGGAGAAGCCCCGTTTCTGTTCGTGTTGTTACCGCTAGCAGCAGTTACATTGTGCCCGTTTGGCTCTATGCAGTGACAGCCAATAATGTCACTAACAAGAATAGATTTCTCAACATAAGTTGTGCTGCTGTTTGAAATAATACTGTAAAATACACCACATCTTGTAAGAATAACTTTGTACTCCTCTCGGCCCTTCGGCATAAGGAAAAAATCTCCTTCCAAAATCACGTCATCTCTCCAAGACGCCATTTTGATGCATTTGGTCATGTGACCAAGCCAAAGTCACGTGAGCAAATAGTATCAAGTGAACTCAGGTGAACTCTTTGAAGCCCTGTCTCCGGTTGGCCTGAAGGGTAGAGATCACTCTATGGTAGAGATAAACTACGCCCCCAGGGGCGAATTGGGTTTTTGAATCGTCCCAGGTATTTTTCACTCCCTCGGACTGGCCCACAAATCGGGAGTGAATTTGCATGCGTTGCTCATCAAAGGGGGGGGGGG